GCCCAGGGATGTGCGGGTTAGGGTGGGTTGGCCGTGCTAAATTGTCCTGTAGTGCCCAGGGATGTGCGGGTTAGGGTGGATTGGCCATGCTATATTGTCCCATAGTGTCCAGGGATGTGCGGGTTAGGGTAGATTGGCCGTGCTAAATTGTCCCATAGTGCCCAGGGATGTGCAGGTTAGGGTGGATTGGCCATGCTATATTGTCCCATAGTGCCCAGGGATGTGCAGGTTAGGGTGGGTTGGCCGTGGGGAATGTGGGGTGATGGGGATGGGGTGGAGAGATGGGTCTGGGTGGGATGCTCTTCACTGGCTCAGTATGGACTCGATGGGCCAAGTGGCCTGTAAGGATTTTATGATTGTGATGAGTATGTAAAATATGACCTTTCAAAACAGATAGAGAAATATCATAGGATTATTACTGTACAAAAGGAGGCTATTCAGCCCATTGTTCCTGAACTGGTTCCATCCCTCAGTGCGCAATCTCCTGCCTTTCCCATTATCCCTGCTCCCCATTTCTATCCAAATGTCCCTCTGGAATGCCTCAGTTGAACCTGACCCCCCCGCCCCCCCCACCACCATGTTTCCAGGCAGTACATCCCACACCCTCACTACCCACCGGGTGAGAGAGTCTCTCCTCACTTCACCCTCGCTTCGTTTGTACATCACTTTAAATCTATATCCCTCTCGTTCCTGTTCCTTTTCTGAGCAGGAACAGCTTCTCCCTCCCTCCTCTGTCCAGCCCCCTGCTCGGGATTTGGAAAGCCTCTATCAGATCTCCCTCTCAGCCTCCTTCTGTCCAAGGGGAACAGTCCCATCTTCCCCAATCTATCCTCATCGCTGACATTAACCATCCCTGGAACTGTTGTTGTAAATCGCTTCTGCCCTCTCTCTCCGATGGGTTCACATCTTTCCTATAATGTGGGGCCCACAACTGGATACTATACTCCAGCTGGGGGTCTAACACGGGTCTTGTACAAGTTCAGCATCACCTCCTTGCTCCTGTACTCTGTGCCCCTGTTAATAAAGCTGAGGGCACTGTGTGCTTTATTCACTGCTCTCTTGACCTATCTTTTCACCTTCCGTAATCTGTGCACAGAGACCCCCAGCTCCCCCTGATCCTGCCGCACCCCCTTTAGAAATATACCCACCCTATTTTGTATTGTCTCCCAATGTCCTTCCCATCGAAGTACATCACCTTCCACTTCCCTGTATTGAACCTCATCAGTCCCCTCTCCGGCCTCCTCCGCCACTCTCTGTCTCCTCTCTGCCCACTCTCTGCCTACTGTACCCACTTGGCAATGTCCTTTTGGAGTTCCGCACTGTATCTCCACCCCTTCACAGTTTACAATCCTCCCGAGTCTGGTGTCAGCTGGAAACCTGGAATTTGTCCCCTGTACAACATGATCCAGCTCACTGAAATCACACAAGCATGTGTCCACGATCTCTCCATCCTCCAATTGGCTCCCCCGAAAGCAATCGTGCCTTGTTGTGAACGAGGTCAGAAATCACGCGACACCAGGTTATAGTCCAACAGGTTTATTTGAAAACACAAGCTTTCTGAGCCTCACTCCTTCTTCAGGTGTTAGCGAGAGAGGTGGTATCAGACACAGATGTTATAATTAAAAGATCAAAAGTTCACACCACTAATAAGGATGCAATAAACAAACCTAAGATGCTGTTAAATCTTCAATCAGTTAGAAGGTTTTAATTGATTAATACATATATGTTAATTCCTGAATGTCTTTCAAGCCACTGCCCTGAGAGAAGTAAAGGCTTTTTTCATTGTATCGAAAAGGTGACATTTTAGGTCAGACAATGCATGTTAGGGGTGAGGCCTTGTTTAGAATCTGAGATAACAAGGTATAGAGCTGGATGAACACAGCAGGCCAAGCAGCATCAGAGGAGCAGGAAGGCTGACGTTTCAGGCCTAGACCCTTCTTCAGAAAAAAAAAATCTGGTTGGGTTTTGGTTTGGAGTCACACTGGTGTTAATTCTCAAGTAGGAATTTATAAAGCACCATATTGACCATCTGCCTATAAATTGTGTGCTTTTCGAACAAAATCGAATGTACCTGCAAATGCAAACAATTCTGTCGATTTTGCGATCATTTTCTCCCTCTGTGACATCTGCCAGGGGGTGAAAACCTGCCGAAATCTATCGCCAAAATGGCCTACCGCACATCACGAAATTCAAACTGAGGTGGAGGGAAAACTTTAATTCCAAACAAAACAGTCCCACTCATTGACATACGCGATTGAAAAGTCTACACAGGCAACGTTTTCAAACAAATCTGTCCAGAGATGGACAGAAAACAAAATAAACGGCAAAGAAATCGGAAATAATCGGTAAACGGCTGAAAGTTGCAACAGGCAAATGTCCCTGGAACTGGCTATTCATCAAGAATTTGAAACTCAACAGAGCAATGAAATCCCTTCCTGGGACTGGATAGCGGGAGGTGGATATGTTCTGTTCAGTGGAGAAAAGGATAGCACTGGGTTCAAGTGGCATTGTACCCCTGTTGTGGGGGAGTGTTGGGGGGAACGTTGAGATAGACAGTTTTACTTTGGGATTTGGCTGTTAACAGCCATGAGCCACAAGACGAGAACAATAGGCTATCCATCTTTCTCCTCGACACTCGGTGACAGCAGTGGGGTGTTACCTGGAGCAGAGGGAGACTGCAGAACTGAGCGCTGTTTTTCCGTTGTCCTCCTTCTCAGGCACACAAAGGGGGATTCAGTAAAGCTGCAGTCTGCTCATTATTAGCCAGAAGTCACAAAGGGACCTACGAGGGATTCGAGCGCTCATGGTTAATTCACATCTTATCAAGTCTCTGAGCAGCAGGATTACCATGAGTGCATACTCCTTCAAACAGGTTTCTCTGAGTTCGCTCTCAACAATGAGACGAAATCTTCCCGCTGTATGTTTACAGAGTCTCTGTAAAATACACAGAGATCTCGGCAATATTCCACTGTGTCTTTACGTAATCTCTGTAACATACACAGAGATCTCGGGCAATATTCCACTGTGTCTTTACGTAATCTCTGTAACATACACAGAGATCTCGGGCAATATTCCACTGTGTGTTTACTCAGTCTCTGTAACATACACAGAGATCTCGGGCAATATTCCACTGTGTGTTTACGCAGTCTCTGTAATATACACAGAGATCTCGGGCAATATTCCACTGTGTGTTTACTCAGTCTCTATAATATACACAGAGATCTCGGGCAATATTCCACTGTGTGTTTACTCAGTCTCTATAATATACACAGAAATTTCAAGCAATATTCCATTGCATGGTTTACACAGCCCATATAACTTTTTTAGAGATCACAGGGCAATATTCTAACTGTATGTTTATGGTGTCTCTATAACAAACACAGAGATCACAGGGCAATATTTCTGCTGTATGTTTACACCGTCACTAGAATGTACAGAAATTTTGCCTTCCTAACAGGGTTTTACTGAGGGGCCCAAGTGATTTTTAACCAGCGATTTCAACCTTCAATGCAAATTTCAGAGAATTATTTACACAATCTGTTCAGAAACTATCACATCTACCAAGCTGCTGGAAAAGCACAGGGATTAAACAACAAATACAAGATGAAACAGGAATAATGTGGGTTACTGCTGTAGCACGGAAAATCGTCTGGTCAGAACAGAGAGGATTCACGAGCCCCCATCATAATGACACCTGGAACAGAAATGAAAACAGATTTAGGACATGAGCCACACTACAGGTGACACAGGGATATCTGCACATTGTAATCCTCAGTCATTCTCACTGATGTATGGGAATAAAATAATAATTTGTTCCAAACTGGAGGATTAGCATCTTATTTTACGGTTAGGCACCTTACAGCCTCCAAATTTACCCACCAGTCAGGTGTTGTGTCTTGTTTATGCTGTCCTACAGAACTCACTTGCATTCTGCTATTGACACTCACTCAGTCTAATGCATTGTACCTTGTGATAGAGTTATAGAGATGTACAGCATGGAAACAGACCCTTCAGTACAACTCGTCCATACCGACCAGATATCCTAAACTGATCTAGTCCCACTTGCCAGCTTTTGGCCCATATCCCTCTAAACCCTTCCTATTCACATACCCATTATTACAAAGTTGTGTAGAGTATTCATGAATTGGAAGGCAGGAAGTTAGAATTAATTGGTAAAAATGATTGTGGGGAAAAAGAGTGCTGTGGTCCCTTTAAGAGCTTGAGGTTTGTCTGTGCTTGGAAGTTTTTAAATGCAGGTGCAGAGAGAGCGCCCGAATGGAAATATTTTGTATAGAACAGCCGAGCAGCATTTTTACCAAGACAACAGGTTTGAATTTGGCCAATTAATTTAAACCAAGCACCTAGACACAGAAAGCCAATTGAATTTAAATCTGATGGTGTTGACAACCTGAAACCAATCATATTATAAGAATCTGATTATATCATTATGGGTATATAAGACGAGGGCATCTGGAAAGTAAGAGAGATCCATCCATCAGCTCTCAGAGAAAGCTCATCAAAGGTAATACAGTATTTTAGCTCAAAGTCCTCATTGAAGAAATTATAGAGATAAAACATCCCTGACAGCAGAATTAACAGAAGAATGGTGTTTGTGAAGAGACTGGAGACAACAGAACATTCCAGAAGACTGTCTGTGCAAACTTGGAGAGATTAAGTTATAATTTATTGCTCCTTATTAATTGGGTGTATATGAGTGGGACTTGTTTTGTGTTTAAACAGCATTCCGGTAGAATTTAGACCAGTTAGGGTGTAGTTAGTAGTCTAAGGGGGAATTGTCAGTTTGTTAGTAATTCTGTTAATTTGTTCATTGTTGGGTTAAATAAATAAATTGCTTCCTGTTACTTGTAAAGTGGAGATCAGGGATTTTCTTTCTTTTAACCAGTCTTTGAATAGATTGAGGGGAAAGACAATCTTCTCTGGATGTTTTGGGGATAATTATCAGAGGGGTTCGGCCATTTCCCCATTGTAACACTATCCAGATGCCTTTTAAGTGTTGTAATTGTACCAGCCTCCTCTGGCAGCTCATTCCGTACACACATCACCCTCTGTGTGAAAAAGTTGCCCATTAGGTCCCTTTTAAATTTTTCCCCCTCACCTTAAACTTATGCCCCTCTAGTTCTGGATTCCCCCCATCCCTGGGGAAAAGACCTTGGCTATTTACCCTATCCATGCCCCTCATGATTTTATAAACCTCTATAAGGTCACACTATAAAACAACTATTTTTAGCACACCCTTTGCCTTTAGTTTGATGCTTTAGTTGATCTCCGATCTCACTTCCTGCTCTCTGTCACCTTCACCTCCCCCTCTCCTCTCTGACTGGCATCATCTCCCTGCCTCTGTTCAGTATCAGTGCTCTGGCTCACAGTGGGGAAATGGTGAGCCCTAACTAACTAACTATAGCTGGGCCTGGCTCCCAGGTCCATGGAGAAAGTTCCCCTTTGTACATACCGACAGTTCTTCAACTCCTCTCTGACAGCGCTGTGTTGGTTCAGTTACTTTTCACCTGTAAGACAGGGTGAGAATAGGCACAGACAGTGTGAGAGAATGGCCATGAGCTTCCCCCTACCTGCCCCTATCCCCTGGACCTCATCCTGAGAGTGACACAGGTAGAAGAAGCCTTGTGTCCCTCCCCAGATCTCACTGT